AAAAAAAAAAAAAGAAAGAAAAGAAACTCACCATTATTCTTCCACCTAACCCCCTTAATCTCCCCCTTCCTCTTCTCCTCATCTTCCTCATCCTCCTCGTCCAACATATACCCATGCCCATGCGCATCACCCCCAAAAGAACCCCCAAACACTCTCTGCCCATTCAACCGGTAAACAGATAATTGCTCATCCTGGGCAGATACCAGGGCAATCAGGTCCATTGTCGGACAGTAGGTTAGGAGGTTGGGCTTGCATTTTGTGGGGAGGGATTTCTCCGCGACGAGGGAGAGGAGAGGGGTTTCTTCTGTCATTTTTCTTTCTTGGGGGGTTTTTTTTTGGGGGGGGAGGGGAGGGGAGAGGTTTTATATTGTTTAGGGGGTTATGAGGCTGTAGTCTAGGCCATTTTGATACTTGTGGTTGGGAGTGGTGATTGGGCGTGGTTGTTTGGTTGCTTGGTTGGTTGCTTGAACGGGTAGAAAGTGGTTCTTGGCGCGCGTCGCGTGTATCGTCTGGGGTTACAGAACACCACGAAGTACATACCTACATTGCTACGAGTTCTATTGCCGTATGGTTTTTTCTGTGGTGATTAAACTGGGGATAAAGTTGAAAATCATTGGTCAAGTTCATTCTATAATCTCTCTAAATGCCAGCAAATAGCGATCCAAGTTCTATATAAAATCTAAATCATCCCCTGAGGTGTCTCATTTTGCCCATTTTGTATCATGTTCTTTAAGTAGCTCAATTCATCCATCATCTCCTGCATGGTCGCATTCTGTCCAGCAGACCGACCACTATCCAGACTCCTGTGACCCGTACCCCCAGAGCCAACACTTGCGTGAGACGTGGCCGCTAAATCGCGCTCAACTGCGTCTCTGAAAAGCATGGCAGAATTCGCTGGACTGGGCGATAAGCCAAGCCCATTGACTTCTAATTCGCCAAAGAACGCGGCGCGGCGTTTGGGGTTGGATTCGACGTATTCTGGGTGCTCGGTGTGCTCGTGGTCGCCGTCTTCGTCGTTGATGGAGAGGCCAGCCATGTTCAGTAATGGAGATCCTGAGACGGCTACGCGGGGGGCGGGGAGCGAGATTCCAGGAGAGTTGTCGCCTGCAGAAATAGCGGGTGATGGTTGGGAGTCCACGGTCAAATGGGGTGTATCGGGGTCGCTGCATTCAGCGATATGGGACGGCTGCAAGAGACCCGGTGTCTTTGCATTGTCGGTGATAGATGATGATGGCCGATCTTCATTGAAAGTCGAGGCGGAGACCATCGACTCGGGAGAGATCTGTTCATTGTCGGTGCTCCATTCGGAGAAGCGGCTCTTCTCCAATCCAGGGGAGTGACCTCCCGTGGATTCGTCGGTCGCTGAGAAGTCCGAGAAATGACTGCCCAGGTTTTCTGCGTCAAGTGCCTTCTCTCTGTCGTCCAGATCCCGCAATGCTTCGTCCATGACGGACGAAGGGGTGTTCGGTAACGTGGGCAGTCGCTTGTCCTGGAAGTTAGGCGGCCTAGGAGTCACAGAGGTGTCTCCGGAAACCGCGATTTCCTGCACAAGCTCACGGAGAGTTGGCATATCATTCTGATGAGAGGACTCGAATCGATCAGAGCGGGTGTCCACGGTAAGAGGACTCCGGAAGGGAGACGGATCCCGGTATTTCGACCTCATTGCGCGACGGTCCTGGATGGACAATGAATCGTGGTTGTTGGCAGACGAAGGACGCCGGAATGGCAATTCAGATTCTCTAACAGGACTGCTGTCACGCTGAGGACTGAACAGAGGTCGGGAACCGTACGCAGCTGACGGTCTCGTCACAACTTCTTCATCCTTGGAATTGTTGATGGCCGTTAACTCTGGTGTCGACGCGTTTAAAGACTTGAGGGCCGCGCGTAGACCCCTGGATCTGGGAGGTGACACGGAGCGGGAGATCCTGGAGTCGAAGCTACCACCAGAGCTATGACCACGAGATTTGCCGGCTGCGCTGGTAGGCTGGGAGGTTGTCCGGTTGGTGATGAAGCTCAAAGGAGAGGAGTTGAAAGACCAGGAGGGAGTAGGCTGTTGTAGGGACGTGCGGAGGCGCGGTAGCTTAGGCTTAGGGGGCTGACGGGGGTTCACATAACGGTCCTCGGGATTCATGGTGCGGATGTCGAGGGTGTTATTGAAGGACTGCGAGTTGTGCGTGTGAATCGGTTCGCTATCGGGGAGCAGGATCGGAACTTGAAGAACGTTGACCGGCTGGCCGGGGAGAAAGGGGCAGTGCGTCGTCGCGGGTTCGGTTTCGTTGTAGTGTTCGATGTCGTCGTCTAACAAGTACTAGTACTTTCTGTCAGCCCGTTGCCACCGATCAATTGCTGCATGAAGATCACAATATGAGACGCACGTAATACCAGTAGGTACCACCGTTCTTCAATCCACCAGAACGAGGTGAAGAAGACTGCACCGAAGAACCATCACAAATAATATCGGTAAAAGTATAGCACCCTTTCCACAGATCGGGGCAAACCCGTCTATCCTTTTCCAGGGAGTACGGCTTGGAGAAGTTGTCCCAGGAGCCGAACAATTTGACGGATCGGACCTTAGGATCGGTACGACTGACTCGTTAGCTTTTTTGTTCCCCCTTCCCCTCACTTCAAGAATAACTCACAGGAAAAAGGTCATTAATGTCGTCGAATTCATGGTAATTGTGGTTAAAAATAAGGGGAAAAAAATTGAAATAAATAAAAATTGTCGCTTCCAATCGCTCCGAAAATCAAGATAAATGCACAATGCAGTGTCGTCCACAGACCAGCCAGGACAGACAATAGATAGACAAAAGAGACAATAGAATAGAAGATTGAATGCAATTGAATGCAGACTTTTCGAAATTCGAGTCAGGCGCAGTGGCTAGTGATATACTGATAGTAGTCCGCGGTTCGGTGTCAAAACACCAACGACATCGCCAGTTAAAAAAAAAAAGGAATGTACGCGAGACGTCAACGAAGATCAAGCAGCCGCAGCGGCTACAGGAACAATAGCCGGTTCAGATATAAAGCTGTCTGCTGTCAGGGAAGACGAGGGTTGTGTTATAAGCGCCGGGAGTACAGCGGAGATATGGGACAGGACAAAGTCGGCGCTTGTTGAAGCAGAGGTTGAGCGTGTATTGGTAAGAATAGAGAAGCGGAAGAAAGGTGGAGAGAATCAAAGCAGTTGGTTGATATAAGTTGAAGAGAGAAGAGAAACCAGGAAGAAATATCAGAGGTTGGCAGGAAAAGTGTGGCTTTAGCGAACCACGAGGCGACGAGGCAGAAAAGAGCACGTCAGAGGCTCTGTGCTGGAGGAAAAATTGAAGGAAAAAAAAGACAATATTTTTTTTTTTTTTTGAAGAAAAGAACAATAAATTAAAGATCGGACGGGGATTACGGAGTAGATTCGATGATGCGCATCCTCAGTCAATTACCGATCAGGACGTGGCTGGGATCGTCGTGGACTCGTATACAAAGCTATATGATGACCATGTATGTTCCAGGTACCATTGGTGCACCGCCATATTGCCTTTGTGTATTGCTTTTTGATATTTCTTTTTCTCATTCTCTTCTATTACAGCTCTATAGCATTCTTCCACAACAATTGCTTGTGTTTGTCATCTCACCGTCCCTGACGATCCCTACCCTATCCAGCTACGTGAACCATGTGGCTCATTAATTTCCTTCAGGAACCAACCTATTTAGCACGGAGTAGTGTACATACGGAGTACACGCATAGACCACGATGCCATTTATTGAAACATGCTGACAGACACTAACACACCTAAGCTTGAACATAATTGACATAGTGCATTTCAGCTGCCCGAGTCCCCGTGCGCGGAGAAGCCCGAGAGCGACCACTTGTAGGTGCAAAGTGCGAGGCTTGGTGCCAACCCCAACACTGCCACCATGTCCCCGACAGACAGGCTGATCATCCTCCGAGTTCGCCCCGAGTACCTGGTTCGCACTATGTAGTAGTGTGCGCTTTGTTGCAGTCACCGACATTCTGTCTCCCAGCTGTTCATCCCCGTTCATCCCTGTCATGTGGGTTTAGATATGCCCATAGCCTGCAGCAGTGCCTTGTACACACTCCGTATCTCCGTACTGTACGCGAGGTATCCGCCCAGCAACGTGAATCCGCCGAACTCTATCGTCCCGTGTCCCCTCCAGTGGCAACCATAATCGACCCGCATGTCTTGTTGTTTGGTTTGTTTGCGGGCTACACCGGCTTATTGGGGGATTGTTGGTAAATTGCCATTGTACGGAGTCTTCGGAAAAAGGGACAATAAAAAAGGAGAGGGCCGTCCGCTGTCAATCAATGCGATCTTCGATCTGTATTCGATGCTTTATCGATCCTGTCCTGCCGCTTATTCCGCACTGCTCTATCCACCTGAGCGGATTGTTGCTGCCGTATCACTATGCCCCAATGGATATAGCATAGGAAAATAACAGTGTGGTTAACTCGAATACCAAGCATGTAATTAACTCCTTAGCTGAATAATTACATCCAGTTTGAAGAGATTATCGTACTCAATTAAAGAGGTTTATCAACTCGCTGGCATTCGTCATCCTCGTGACCTTTTGCAGAGGCCTCGTTGAACAAGACATGGATTGTTTAGCCAATTACTTCTGGCACATTGGTTCAATAACCTTTTTTTTCTGAAAAGAATGCCTCGAAGGCCGCTTCAAAGTGGACTTGGTGCTTTGACAGATATATGTAATCCAGGACCGCCTCGCTAGAGGACATCCAAATTACCGCAAGATCACTGGTATCTCCATCATGAGGTTTCTCGGATAGTCGAATAACCACTTCGATGACCACTGGCGCGAACCCAGTGTACATAGAAACATCATCCATCATCCCCACAGGTGCTCGCAGCCCATCTTTCGATCTGTCCCTGCCGGACCGTTCATTAGACTTCACCTCAAGAACCTGCCATCATTTGCATTCAATGGCTTGACAAGTGCATTAACATCCGCTGCTTCCTCAATAGCCCTCATGGGTCCTTTCTGGGAAGACCTCGTTGGGCGAGACACGGGTTATCTGCCCAATTGCTGCTGGTGTACTCATTGCCGTCGCTCTTCGCGCAAGGCTGCTTCAAAGACCGGTTCAAGATATATTATATTTCGATTCATCAAGGATTACCTATTCATCAGCGTGGTCATATATCCCACTTCATAGGTGGTAATTGACTGTGCGTTCGTATAACATAACAAAGTTCACAGGAAGTCGATGTGTGCTCTCCCCAAAAAATCTCCGTTGTGTTTGAGAAGTCGGTGATACTATACATCCTATTTCCCTATACAGCATGTTTCCAGTTAGACGAAGCCCTATTTCTAGAGGTATTTTGACAGGATATCAATCATACAATTCGTGTGGTCTTCGCTTCGTCTTCGATTGTGGCGTTTGTGTCTACAGGACACTCTTCAAATACTTGCTTTTATTGGCAAATATATACGCAAAATAGTACCGAGGTTGTAGAGATTTGGACTAGGATAGCCCCGTCGACTGCATGGATGTTTGGCTGCTCTGCTTGGTGGCATGATAGCTTGAAGGCTGGAGAGTTAGATGAAGACAGTTGAGGGAAGGTGATAGATGAAGAAAAGATAATCCTCATGTAAGTGAGTAAGATTAAACGTTGGATGTCATGTGACAGATGAAGCGAATGTCAGTCTTTGTTCTACGAATGGTCCGATGCTACAATAGGCTTCTACTTGATTGCCTGGGAGGGCTTTTGGCATGCTGTTATTCATACGAAGACTTACAGTCACCATTTAGGCAACACGTCGGTATCTACTTTGCCACCTATGCTGCCTGCCAGTCTCAGTTGTTAAGAGGGTCTCTGTATCCATTTTCCTCTTCTACTCACCCATCCTCCAACGGTTGACCTCATACAAACAGTGAAGCGCTTGCAATACCCTTGCCATTGACAATGCAGCTCATCCTTGCAACTCTCTTGCTCCCTCTCTCGCAGGCATTCCCTGCCCCTGTCCCTGTCCCTGTCCCCGTGATAGAAGAAGGAATCGCACTAGCTAATGTATGCTCCGAAACCTGCCCTGAGGCCCTTTCCCCTATCTGTGCAAAGAACGCAGCGGGAGCCTTTGAGATCTTTGACAACCCGTGCATGTTCAACAAGGCGAACTGCAAAGGACTCGATTACGTCCAAGTGGACCTTTCTGGGTGTCGCGGCTTGGTATATCTAACACGTATTCACATTTAACAAAGACTCTTGCTAATTAACGAACCAGATCACTGATTCCGATGGCGTTCCAATCGAAGCAAACGGTAAATTCCATGATTACTGGGTTTTGTTGTTGAATTGGTTGCTCGAGAAGAAGCGGTGGTGGCGATGCAAGACGAAGAAGATTGATTGTGGCCGTGGCTGATGGGTTAATACCCACAGTTGCTTTACTTCTGGCTCTAGCTATCTACGGTTTGATTGGACTTGTTTGCTTAAAAGTAGCTACGGTTAATTCAAGGGGGGCATTTTTCCAAAGTAGAAGAGGCACCTTGTAATACTCCGTCCGTATGGTTTTAACAACTGAGCATGTAGGGCAGAAACACGCCAGGAGGTTTCAAACAATACTCAGCATGAACAACCACTCGATCTTCCGGAGATAATTCCCCCTGCACTGCAATTTAAGCGGACGACTCTAATCCCTGTCAATTCCAAATCGCCCTCAGCACTAAAGCATTGACCACCCAATAGTTTCATACTCTGATAGTTCCCAATGATCGTCATCTCGGAGTTCCCGACACTATTGATTTAACATGTCGTATCAAACAGCACTAAATTTATTATGACGAAGTAGAATCCTGTAACTAGCTGTGTACACAGGCAATCAATCAATCAATCAATCAATCAAACCCAACTACTAGTAGCCCTCACAACATCCCTCAACACCCCCTCTGCACTCAGTCCCCCATACCTGTAATTATATTCCATCCCCTTGCCCGGGAAGACAACCATCTCCCTTCCAATCCCCTCCCGCTCGCGCTCCCGCTTCAAATCCCCCTCCAATACCTCCAGAAACACCCTGGCACCTTCATCCTGCCCAACTTGCAGAAACTGCACATACAGCTGCCACGGCACAGCACGACATCTATCCAACCGCTTACCCGCACGGACAAGCTCCTTGACTGCATCATCCGTAAACGCACCGTCGGTTATAGCGATGACGTAGAGCGGTTTAACATAGAACCGTCGCTCAGTCTCATTGTACTCATCAGGGCTGTGAGCAGAGCTAGAACCAGCATTGCTATTATGGTAATTATAATAAGCGATATTCATATTCTCCACCAGCCGCAGATACGGTTGCAAGAGCTGATTCAAGCGCGCCCCGAACGGGGTCGGACCGTGCGGCTCAATGGCGTTGAATATCTCCCTGACCTGCATGCTTGTCTGCAGATTCGTGTATCCGCCCTTGCTACTCCTGTTGGTTGTGGAGAAGCCCAGTTCCGAGGTATCAGAGACAGCGTGGTGGTTTAGGAAGTAGATGTCTATTCCGGAGTTATCGGGACTGTGTTGCGAACAGATGGGGGCGATGGACGCAAGGACGTCGGTGACTTCTTGCCAGCGGCCGTTGTCTTGCATGCTTGTGCTGTCGTCGACTACGAAGGCGAGGTTGTATTCCTGGAGGAAGGTTGTGAGGGTGGAGTAGTAGTCATCTTCTGCGAGGGTTCGCTTGCTGTTTCTTTTTCTTAGGATTAGGCTTCGGCGTTGACGGGGGGCTTGGTGGCTGGTTGTCGTGAAGGGGTTGAGGAGGGCTGGGGGTGGTGGTTTTAGGGTGAGGAGGGAGGATGGGGAAGAGATGGGTTTGGTTTCGATTTGGACTTCTTTTTTGTCGGTTTCTGAGAGGTGAGAGGTGTTGGAGGTGTAGGTTTGCATTTGGATTGCGCCGCTAGTGCGGTCGTGTTTGGAGGGGCGTTGGCCCATTATTGCACTGTGTATTCTTTCAGTCTTTGAGGAGAAAAGAAAATTGAGCTGGGCCACAATGTACCTGACATCAGCTCAATGGTGCATTATGCAATGATGAAGCGTATACTCAGCATCATTGATTCCCAATTTGGACAACAGACAAACCCAATCATAGTACAGTAAATACACAAACCGATCCCAACGCCCGCCAAAATGCAAGAATTAAGAATATACAAATTCAGTGTCATGGATGATCATTCCCAAGATCCCCCATTTCTTCCACCCGATACACGATCCCGTCCTTTCGGTCAATATCCTCGAAGAATCCAGGCTCCACGCCCAGAATCTCAATTAATGCCAGCGCCTGGTCAATTCCCATTGTATGACCAATCAGCCTGAAGCAGTTCTCGGCCCATTTTCGGAGCGCATGGGTCTTATTCTCCGTTGCGCCTGCGAGGAACAGCGGCCAGAGGAGCACAATCCCTCCAATGTGGCTTCGATTACTGGTAGCTGGTTCCCCAACCAATCCCAAGTGATCGGGAACACTAGCGCAGATATCAATAGCCAGCTGGCGAGCCGTCGCACGAAGCCCATTGCAATGAATCTCTAGATCCTTAGATGAGTACCCGTTAGCTGAATCCGCTGATAGTCGTCGAAGACAGCTCATGATGATCTGTGTAACGATAATTTTGGAACAGCGATACTGGTTCCAAGTATGCCCTAGCCACAGTTCACTGTAGATGTGGTATCGATCGCTGAACGGCACGAATCCACGAGAGCGGCGGAGGAACTCTGCATCAATCACGGGGTTTTTGACCGTTGTGTACATGAAGTTCGGAGGCAGTCCAGCGAGCCATGTCATTAGCTCTGCTTCAATAGCGTACGCAGTCGCAAGGATCTGTCGACCGTCCGTGTTCGCCTTTGAGGCGATATCTGCACGCAAGTTTGACAGTTTTCCAGTGATTGATACCAATCTGTTACCGTAGGCTTCCGTTTGAGGCCGTAGGAACATGGCGATCCTAGAGCAATCGAGGACCGACTGAGGGACTCGCGCCGCTCTTTGCAAACAGCTTACGATCTGCGCATACACATCAGTCTTTAGAAAACGCGAAAGGATGGGGCTTCACATACAATCTGGTAGCGTAATTGAACAAATAATCGAAGACCATCTTCGTCTTGAAGTTGCTGTATCCCCCGTAACTCAAGCAACGCTGCAGCACCGTGGATATGGTTTATCCAATTCTCAATGCTCTTTGGAGCTCTACTCGTAACACACTAAACATCGTCAGTCGAGTTTAAGTCATCAAAAATACATGCAAATCTTACCTCAAACATAGCCAGTAAAAGAACGGCAGCAAGGGTCGGATTTGCGCGCGCCTCATTCACATCCGTCACCGCTGCGCCCATTAATCTCAGCGCATTGCCGTATTCATTTTCTGCAACTAGTTTCAAAGACGGACATCGTCGAATGCGCGCAAGCATCGCCGTACCCACCGAAACGACACCAGCCCTCATGGCCTGCAGACTAGAAGACTTATTATTCTGCAGAAACGCATCAGGTGTCGCATTCAACATCCAAAAAGCACCCGGCCATGCATTATACCGAAGAAAGTAACAAACTGCTTCATCCTGAGTGGGTTGATAAGACGGTTGGGCATTAATCGCTTTGCGGTTGATTTGCTGCACTGGACTGCTGTCGTTGCTACCACTGCCACTGCCGCTGCTACCCCCACTATCAGAAGGCGTCAAAACATCAACGGTGACGCTAGGCGTCTCCGTCGGAGGCGTCCTCTGCAGCTGCACCTCGCCCCCACACACCTTCTTCTCACTAAGAGTAGGACTTGGGGTATTGATCGCACGCACAGTGGCCACTCGTTTAGAAGTCTTAGCAGCCCTCCGAGTCGTCGAAGCATTGCTCTTTGCTTTCCGAACAACCTGCTGACTCTCATCCCGGAACATCAGCGATAGCTGATCTCGGTAACCCGGACATTCACGGTGGGCTTTGGTACATTGCGAACAAGCGGGTTTGGCCTGGTCACAACGTATTTTCCTAGATCGACATTCACCGCAGCCTTTGCTCGGCTTCCCGCAGTAGACCATTGGGGGCAAGGCAATTCAATGAAACAGATAAGACGTCAGATTGTGGGGGTGGACGATCTACTTTGACGTGCAGTGTCAGGGCGTTGGCCGTTGTAGGGAGAAATGTAATGTAATAGGGGTTATTTTGTTCGAGCTGATGACTCGAATGGGTAATCAGTGCGAACACTTGTATGATTGTTCAGCCGATCGGGGACCCAGTCCGTGTTTGATATCGCTGTTTAGCTCACTAAATGCCCAGAACTGTTACCAGCAATTGAATATAGTTGGATTAAGGCAACGTCCACACAATAGACAAAGAAAATAATATGGGGGATATCCATAACCGCCCGACGTGGAAGAGGGGAAGAAGTTCAGATGAGGCTAAGTCTGCGCTAACCAAATGGGGTATGCTTGGTGTAGAGCTTCATTTTACCCGATCGGGCCATCTGCATCGCAGCCGTACGTGATTTCTGCATATCCACTGCACATTATGGAGTTTTCAATTTGCTTGCTCTTGAATTCGCTGGTAGAAATACACAAGTCGAGATCTCGTGCATTATCCCACCAGCTTGGCGACTGCAAACAACGACATCGTTAGTGAGGAAAGGCATGGTCGAGTAATTTGGTAGCTGACATTCGTGCCCGGGGGTTTCGCTGTAGCATCGATGAAAGAAATGGTGTCAGGCGTTGAAAGATATTCCTCGACTATGAATTGATGTCAGGGTCTCAAAAGTGAAAGTCTGTGGTGCGACTGGAACAGACAATTCACCAGAGAAAACGAATGTGGACAATTATCCTAGATAAGACTCTCAAGCTCTTCCCAAAGGTTGATTAACATTTATATACTTTACTTATAACTGGGATTGCGCATCGTGAGGCGTGCCATATAGTGCCCTTTCCTTGCAATTATCGCTCCCAGCGCCACGGGAACGAATCCCACAGCAATGGATTAGCATGTTTGACACAGCACAGGGACATGAGTTACTCCAGATTCCGTTCACCATCATGAATCTCGGACACTGGCCAGTGTTCTTATGGTTCCCAAATGCCACCAGGAGATAACAAACAATCCCCTGTCCTAATCAAACACTGAAACCTACTCTGGGATAATCTAGCGTTGGATTACAAGTTTCATTAAGGTTGGGTAAAGGGGTCATTGATGTTTTTCTGCCTATGAGAAGACCCGGAAGGTTGCAATATACCAGCCAAACTGAGACCGAGACCGAAAAATCCAAGTTGAAAGGCTGCAGAAAATGAGGATTCGAAACAGCTTCACACCACGAACTTTCTCAGATCAATGCTTTGAAGAACAGGACACCCTCCGGATCCTAAGGAATGGACGCGCAAAGCTTCGTCCAAAGCTTTACAGCATTTGGGGTCCTCCGAAGACACTGCAAAGTACGATCGGAAAAACGTACTACACGAAAGTGGACGAATATGCACCATACAATCCATCAGAAACTAGGCATGCGAGATGAAATAGAGCGATTGGTGAACCAGCATTACTGAAACGAACTGTGAATGGAAGGGAATACGAAAGAGGTTGTTAAGTGGCGTTTCCACATGAGCAAATCGAAGCATGTGATTATAATCATTATGCCAAAGGCTCTCTGTCAAGACACAGCACATCTAGTCTGTGTAGTAGAAGTGACACTTCAATGGTTGAATTACAGCAAATATTCCTTCTTCATTGGCTCTTGCGTGGGCTAATAGCAAGACCAAGAAGACCATCATAAATCGAGAACTTCAAGTTCCTCTGGACATCCACCAACTAGAGCTTTGTCTAAAAGAAAAGTTCATACACGGTTTGCAGCGCCATATCTGGTAGTTACAAGCCAACTACACTGGGTCAATTTTGATGTGAAATACTTCAGAGGGGGAAGTAGCCGATATATGGATGAGCATCAATCAATTACCACCTAAAGATAATCATACCGAGCATCACGATCCAAATCAAACAACGCTTGTTATGACTCAGACGTCGAAAAGAAGCTGTGCCAGCTCAGGGTCGAATACGCCGATCCCTGATTCGGATTCTTGTTCACAGCTATATTCTATGCAGGTGGTACCGGCACGTGAAGGTGTGCCATCCACAGCATAATTCTGGCACTTTCGTCTGGGTCATGGCTGGAACTTCTTGTTCCTCTGAGAGTCCATGCTGGCTCCCCCAGCTGCAATGTCTGGTGCAGAGATAGAGAAAGAATCATCACATTGGTGTCAATCATATTTACGGACCAAGATCCCCAAATCCTTATATCCTCCCCCCCCCCCCCCCCAAAAAAAAGTGGGCAGATCAACTCTGCAAACCAGGCGACTCGGGACCCGTGCTAATCGACAGGTTTGGTTATGTTTGCGGGCTTCTGCATGGCTTCACCTACACGTATCAGGGTATTGGATCAGCAATGACAATTCCAGATATTGTGGAAGCTAGCAAATTTTAGACACAAAGCAATGATGTCAAGGACAAACTCCGTGGAGACGGTCGAGCCTTCCCGTGTCCGGCAATGATTATTCGGGGAGCTACATGAAATGGACACACAAACACATGGCGTGAGAGATCCAGAAGAGTACGAGGTCGTGGGGGTGGATGGGGTGCTTCTCGTCCTTACAGAAATGTCCGACCTCGTGAGATCGATCCTGCTGATCAAGCTGTTGTCAGACAACTTGGCGACTATATTTGAGCAAGGTTGGTGATATAGTTGGCAGCGCAACGGATCCTATTCCTGTGTATTGCCAGGCGTAAACAATAAGATGCCATTTGATACACTTTGTCTCATCTTGTCATACAGTAACAACCCAAGAATCACATAAAACCCATTATGTTCTTAGCATCCACTTTCCTGTACACAACGACAAATCAAACACAGAAACTCTAGTACCAGCTAGTGACAATAGTCACAGAATCCTGACGCTTTCTGTCCTTGAATTTCTTGTCCATCGGAACAAACTCAGGAGCATCACCACGAAGCTTGAAACCCGTACCCTTGCTAGCAGTATTACCACCACGACCAGTCTCTGACGCGCCGTTGTAGGCAAATTCAACGCCGCTTCCAACACCAGTGTTCAGAGGTTTGATCTCCATTTCAATCTCAGGTTCATCTGGGGTCGGTTCGAGTTCGTCAGCGTAGATGTTAGGAGGTTCGTACTGCTAAACAGCCATACCCGTCAGTAAAGGAACCGCGTAGGAAAGCAATAAGCCATGAAAGTGGAAGGAACAAACCGTCTGCCGTCCCACATAACGATACTCCTCCAAAAACAACCTCTTCTGCTGATCCTTCATCTCCTCCTCGCGCGCCACCATATCAAGCATCTGAGCCTCCGCCTGCTCAAGCGCAAAAGGTCTCTCTGAAGTCCAGACGTTACCACCAGGGCCGTAGTACGGCTGGTAGGGAGCGGGGCCGGCGTGACCAGGAGAACCGAACACGTTGTCCGGGTGTCCGCCTGGGTGGCCAGGGGAGGGGAAGGGCATCGCGTGAGAGTTTGAGTTATTGGGGTAGTAGAAATCTCCCGTGGCCATTTCGTTGGGGCCGGGGAGGCGGTTGTTGAAGGAGTTGTTGTCGCGTCTGCGCCAGCGTTTTTTGTCGGGGCTGGGGTGGGCGTTGTTGAAGGGGTTGTTTCCCTGGTTGGTTTATTGCTGGTTAGTTTATGGTTGTCATGATTAGAGGTAGTAGGTCGTGCTGGGGTTAGAGGACGTGACGTGAAGTCCTGTCAAGAGCAGAGCAGAGCGAGAAAGAACTGACCTGGCTTCTCTGGTTCTTACGCCTGGGTGGCATGGCGTCTGGTCAGACTATACGCCTTCTGGAACGCAAGAAAGAAAGGGAAAAGGAGCGTAGAATGAGTAGGAATAGAGATGGTTGCCAGAAAGATATCCGCAAACACAGAGGAGCGTTGCTTGCTGGGAAGGACCGCACTAAGCAATGGGGAGGAGGTTGTAAACAACAAAAGACGCGCGTGTGCCCTAGTCAGATATAGCCCAGGTTCTGCCCTTTGTGAATGGTTTGCACTGTTTATACTGGTCTTTTTACAGCGCACAAATCATTTTGAAAGACATGTTTTGAAGCGAGGATACAACACTTGCTATACATAATTATAATTGTCTTCTGATCAAGTTGAATAGGTTTATAGTGCTCTACGCTCAAACAGTTCAAGATAATGTACGCCAACAAATTTGAATTTTTCTATCTTTTCCTGATACTACCTATCCACGTATTCCAGATTCCTTCATTCCTTTTCATATGGGGCATTAGACATTAAACAGATTTTCCAGTTGAATAAAGACCATTCAAAAATAGATAGAAAGGGAATTTCTCACGCAACATCAAGTCGTAGCTCGTAGGGCATTATCGCTTTTGTGTTTTTGGGGGGAATGGTGTTGAGACAAAGCTAACGAGACAAAATAGGAATTTTCTTTCTTTGGTGAAAGAAAAAGACAAGTGAAAGACTGACACTGTAAGACAGAAAGAGAAGGACAAGAAACGAGTGACTGAAAGCGAGACATGAGCTCAACAGAATCGAAACCGCTCTAACAAGCAGACTCACATCTACTGCTCGTCTATCTGAGCCCGAATCTGCACGAAAAAGTCGAAAAGAGTCTCTTCGGCAGTATCCTTGTCAGCATTTTTAGCGTTCATAAAAATCAGGGCTTCCTCTGCTTCTTTCTCCACGCTATTGTAGTCACTAAGCTGCTGTTGAAGAGCCAGCGCCAACTATAAGTCTATGTTAGTCAGGAATTTTAGGATCAGAAGAGAGGGCATAACTTACACGAAGGTGCTTCTCACGCTCAACAGGGGTACTGTCATCGCGAGCTTTGTTGCACAACTCGTCAATTGTAGACCGTATTTCCTTAAACGATCTCGGTGCTGGTTCGGACTGCTTAGCGACTCCGGATGGGGTGCTCTCCTGATTGTTAACCGAGATGGTCGCGCGAGGCTGATTAGCAGCAGGTCTGTTAGCGGTCGATGCAATGCTCGGACGCTTAGTACCGGTACGGAGAAGACGCTGCGGACTTCCAGTAGAAGCGGCTGCGCCCTGGATGACCCTACGAGGGCGACCATCCTGGCCAACAGACACCTGGGGTTTAGAGCCGGGTGTACTAGCCTTTTTACGAGTGGACTGCGTCGGCCTCGCGAAAGACGGGGTGCGGTCGTCGGGGGCATTGCGGCTCAGCGGGCTAGGGATAGACGCGGAGGTCGAGATCGTAGAACTCGGGGTTGGCACGAGCGCAGGAGAGTATTCGCCCGAGGCCTTAGGGTTGCGGGTAACTTTGTTCCAACCAATGCCGTCGGATAATCTGGGTTTGGCGGTAGGCGACGCTTTAACCGACTCACTTTTTTCGTCGACTTTCTTGACAGATTTCATGCTGGTGATGGAATGGTCTTTAGTAATTCGCGGGATTTGACCTGAATCCTCCTTTCTAGTACGTCCCTTCTCCGAGCCGCTCTTGTGCTTGAAGATGTTGCGGAAGCTATCAAGCATCCTAGTGCCCTTGGAGTCGGGGAGACGGGGCGTTTCAACTGAGCGCGTCTGGCCTTGGGGATCCTTGATCTCAGAAATGTTCACGACGGTAGCGTCACGCTTCAACTGCGGAGTATTATTCTCCTTGTCCGACACCTCGCCGGGAGTTTTCGGGTTAGTGTCCGACTCTGAGTGCATAGGAAAATCAGCCACAGCCTGCAGCGACGAGGTACGCGGCGGCGGGTGAGATCGCAAAGGCATATTCTTGAGCATTTGCTCAGGTGTCGTAGCAGGAGTCGACACATGAGAAGCATTACGCTGGTGAGTATGTGTCGGCGTCGCGTCTGCGTTCTTCTTCTCAGACAAAGGCGAAGACGTCTGCACGCTGTCTGCAGACACAAACACCTTTGGAACAGGGGGAGTACTCTCAGCATGCAATTTATCAGCGCTTGCGACGAAAAGATTAGAGAGACTGGACTGGTTGAAAGGCTTACGCGCCGCCGACAACTCGCGGTTGCTGATGTCCCTCTTTGGTAGATTCTCGAGAGACATCTGCGGGCGGCAGAAGTTTCTGGCCGGTGACTGCTGCTCAGGATTGTGCTGGTCTTTGATCTGGTCAACCTGAGCCTTGGGCTTTTCGTTATTGTCTTGAGACGACTCAGACTTGGAAGTTTCAATATACTTCACACGCGCCGGAGACGACTTTTGAGTAGCGAGAGACGACTTGGAGCCATCGTCGATTGTTCCCATAATGACGTTGTCCGCTGATCCGGCAATCTTCAACGTAGGTCCGTAACGATACTGCCCCATTCTCTCAGAGGGACGAGTACGGTATTCACCAGTGAAGACAGTGGGCGGCTTCTGCAGTTCCTCCTCGCCATCTTCCAAGCCCCAATTACCAACGGAAGAGGAAGAAGTTGAGTTGTCCGACGCCTTCCTGGTCTCTGGAATAGATTCTGGAACGGGCGGACTGGTAGGCTCTCCATCAGGACGGGAACGCGGGCCAGAAGGTCTATCCAGAACACGAATACCACCAGCAAAGCCCTCGATTGGGGTGCGCTGTAGGATATCAGCAGCCTCTGTGCTCAGTCTGCGGACGGAAATAGGAATGGCGCTGGGCGTGGGGCGTGCTCCCTTGGTCAGACCAGGGTACGTCTTTGGGGCAGGAGTCCGGGGCCCACGAGGACCAGCTCCACCGGTGGATTTGCGTGCGATCTGGACCTTTGTGTTATCGAGTGCGTTTTCGTCTTTGGTCGCGCTGGTATCCTTAGGGCTCGCTGTTTATGGTCAGTTACCATTGTCTCTGCGAAAGGAGGCGAGTCAAAAACGTACGCTGCGACTGAGGCTTTTCCATTTTCGAGGTCTCCGCTGTCAATCTTTGTCCTTGTTGAGCTTGCGAGTCACGTTTGTCGCTGTGGTGGGTGCCTGTTTTCAGAATCAAAGGTCAGCCTTGTCCAGTGCACTGGGTCGTTTCAATCTCAGCCATCTCCCCCGCTTTTGCGTCAGACAAAGATGGCTTTGTGTAGGGTACGCTTAAGATGAGAGCTGAAGTCGACAACATGGTCAACACTAGGAGGGTAGGACAGGAAAATACCTTTGTTCTTTGAGTCTGAAACGCTTTCAGCCTTCTCCACCCCCAGACCCTTGGAGCGCGTGGAATCTGGCAGAGGATCTTGTGGAGACGACTTCGACTCCTCAACCATATCCTGATCGAACGTGTAGCGAGACGGAGTAATTGTAAGATCTGAACCCGTTGGCGAAGGCGGAGTCGCGTGGTTATCTTCAGGCGCTTTGAAGACGCGAGAAGAGTGAAGAGAATTTCTGTGGGTGGAAGAAGATAAAGAGGAGCCTCTGTGGGAGTTGTGAGCATGGCTGTGAATGGGGGTTGCTGGAGCGTCACGATCAGTGCGTTCATCGTTCGGCTCTTCCTCTCTGAAAGGGTTGGCAGTGGACTGCAAGAAAGTCCACCATTCTCTGTATGGAACCAAAGAAGCACGCAAAGAAACATTCTCTGAGCTTTGGCCAGAGCTGGTTTCTGTGAAAAATGTGGGAGAGGGTTCGGCTGTACTCATGGGTCTACTGTATATTGAGGCGTCGGAGTAGCGTTTTCTGTTTGTCGACAAAACGCTGTCGATCTGTTGAAGGGTTAGTACTTCGAGCTCGGGTAAATACTCCCTATTGATACGTACACTTGCGATTGACAATTCTGACACTGGCCTCTTAGGTTTAGGACGAGCAAGTAACATCGACGCCCTCCTGATCTCCTTCAGGCGATACATCGGCTTGTACTATTTCGCGACCTTGTCAGCTCTCAAATCACACATACTCAAAGACTAGAAGCAACAAACCTCAATCTCCAACGGCTTCTGCTCTGGTATATCCGCAAGCATTGTACCCGTCGGATTGGTCCCATTCGATTGAAGAGCCTTCAAGCACCCATTCAACCTCCTAAAAATCCTCATCCGCGCATAACTGTTCGTACCCTTCCACTTCAAAAACACCCGATCAGGATTCCTCAGCGTCTTCAAAGCCCTCGTCCGCTTATTCTCACGCTTCTTCACCTCGACCGGCTTCGGCTTCGGCTTCAGTCGATTAGGCGTCACCCCCATGATGGTCGGGTACTGGGGACCGGTATATTTGGGAGGCGGTCGATACTCGACCTTCTGGATACGCTGCGCTTGTTCGAGACACATGAACCTGGGTCCTTTTGCATTGCGAGGAGCATTGGAGCCCCCGGGGGACATTGGCAAGCGAAGCGGCTTTTGTTGAGGAGCAGGTACAGTGTTTTTTCTGTCCCTCGTTCTGTCTATCAGTGGGGCTGCAGGTCTTCTGGGACGCAGTGGAAGACTTCGAGGTGGTGGTAGGGGCTCTGGAGGAAGGTCGTTGACAGGGCTCGAGAGCTTTTTGCGTAGGTTTGGGAACGACTTTTCGTGCTTCATCTTGGGACTCGTCATTGTGTAGCTTTGGGCTTTATTTCTGGTGTCGTTAGCATACTGCTGTATCATTCAAGATAGGGAGTTACTCACAATGACACGAACAAAGCTGCAAGACAGTGCTCTTCGACAAGCAACCAATATCTGAGCTGTAGAAGTCTGATAGGTAAAGACGACTAGGAATTGATGCTGTGTTTGAGAAAGAAAGGGTCAATTGCTAAGAATATGAAGAACAGAAAAGGAACTTTGAATTAAAAGAGGAGAGAAAGAGAGTGAGTATCTGGAATATCTTTTTGAATGCGGATGAGTGTGTGATGCCCTTCACTGATTCTCTTTGAAAGACATGCTAAGCGAGCTTGATTCCCTAACATGGTAGCTCAAGCTGTGAGTATGTAAAATAGACCTGTGTGCCTATACACTGCTTAGAATTTTAACGTTTGAAATGGATTTCTCCTATTTACTTGTGATAAATTACTCTAACTTTTATCTTACATGGCGGTCGATATTGTCCAAGAACTAAGAGGAAAACAACCCGACGACTTGCCCATGTCCATTCCCATCTTAGCCAAGCAAAAAGCTCATCGAGGATCCATCAAGGAGACTCTCTTCGCTTTTGTCGCGAGCTGCCAACTCCCGCGTCGCCCCGAGAGGTTCGTTTCCTCTTCCCAGAGCTGCTACTAAAGGTGGAGTATTGCGTCTGTCGTATGGCGCCAGTAGTTCCATCATCATGCCACTCACTAGCCTCCCACGCAAATTTCGTAGAGTCGTCGTCACTCACACCCATACCGCGCCTGGCCTTCATCAGACGACCCAGTCGACTTCCTTCGATCATTTCTTCGAACCAGGGGATTCCACTCATCATCCCAGATCGGTAGCTTCGAAGGGGCTCGCTTGCTAACGTGGGCACAACAACCGAAGACGACGATGGTGCAGCAGCAGTGGTAGTAGAGACTGGAACTGGGTCTCTACTGGCGGGTACTTCTTCATCGACCTCTGACTCTTCTTCTGATTCTTCCTCCTCCGAAGACCCAGGGAGCAAATCCAAGTCCTCCAACAGGTGCTGGTCTCTGCCGTAGAGACTGCCAATGCTCACGGACATGTACTCTGCTTCATCTCGAGGCGCTTCCGTCCAGTACGTCAACGGTGTGCCACAGAATCCACAGAAATTGCGCCGAGTGTGTGGATCGTGATGAGGCGTGAAGGTGCGGCGGATTGCACTATGCGTTTCGTCGGGGAAGTAGGATCGCGTGTGGGATTCGAACCAGTCCAAGGGGACCCGTAGCCATGCCGTAAGAGGAGTGCCGTGGTGTCTACCTGTATGCAAATAAGCCAACGGTGTTAGTTGACATCGCAATGCCTAGAGAGTTCGCATGGCAACATACGGTTGTCAGAACTGCTATCAAAGTAGATGCGCGCGTGGTCGGTCACATCTTCCGGGATTCGAATCAAATATCGATTACGGCCACATGAGCACGACCCGCGCAGAGGCTCTAAGCCCGTGCCAGAACTCATAGCGACGCGTTGTTGTATAATGATCGCGGATGTTGTGCGAGTTGACGTCGATCCAACCGGTTTAGTATGAGATCATATAGTTCATAGATCGGGCCAATTGAAGGCGATCGCAGAGAAGAGGACGAGAGATTATTCGAAAAGTGAACAATTTCCAGGGGTAAAAGGACATCTAAATAATCAGTAGTCAAGAGTGTTCGTGAAAAAACCAGAGAGCACACAAGACAGCGTTGAGACAGGCGAAAGACATGGAAACGGTCGATGACGTGAAGCCGTCCCACAAGGCTTGGCTATTCCTGATGCGGCAACCCACTGAATTCTCCGCAGAGCTTCTTCTCGAACCAGGGTTTTGCCGTTGTGTCGGGCCCTGGTTGAGCCTGCGCTTATCTTCAGGGGTTCGTCTCTTTTTCTTCTTCTTATTACCCCAGAATCGTGTGTCAAAGACTTATAGCGCATCCTGCAGTTGTGTGCTACTACTATAACAATCTGACAATCTGACTCGTGGTTTGGCTCCGATTTCAGTTCCACTCATTCCGATATGCCATCTGCTCAACTACCTTCAACATCGCGCGCCTCAAGCTCATCTGAACCATCTTATTCACCTGCTGCCAGAAGTATCACCATGAATGCAGACGACGGTGATGACCGTCGCTCGTCGACTCCGGCCGGCCGTTCACCATCATCATCCAAACAGATCGCGTCTTCGAACCAGGCCAACGACAAAGACAAACCGCGCCTGACAGAGCAAGAGAAGAAAAGCAACCACATCGCGTCGGAGCAGAAACGACGTGCTGCGATTCGAGAGGGGTTTGATCGGCTAACCGAACTGGTCCCGGGTCTAGAAGGCCAAGGTCGGAGTGAAAGCATCGTGCTGAACAAGACGGTGGAATTCATGCGTCTACAACTACGGGAGCGACAAGAGCTCATCGCTGAGGTCGAAGGCAAAGGCGGTCGCATCGACGAGACTCTTCGGCCGTGACGCCTTTTGTTACTATCCTCATCAGATGGAGTGCTGTTTCATTCCACATCGGCCGGCATGGACGATGAGCCGAGGTTCGTCGGTATCATGCCCAACCCCGTGAAAAGGAATCGGGGCAGTGTCCGGTCTTTCTTCGTTTACGCGTCTGCGGTGCCATTATTGACGAATTTCCTTTTATTTCTCGTGTCGGGTCTGGGTCAGGTGTTAATATACTACAAACAGAGCATTGTGGCTCTTACGATTACGCTGGATGTTGGATTGTCCGCTTTCAGCTGGCCACGGATGAGTTAGAGGAGCGACTCGGAATCGGAGGCGTGCGTGTTTTTTGTGCTGCAATTATACCTGGGTGTTTTGTGCTTTCGGCTCGGTGCTACAGGCGTTGGACTTATGGAATGGGGCATTCCAATTTCCGAATTTATCATCTTTTTTAAACATTTCCATACTCATCTTTTATTCCTTATCTCGATGCCATTATAAAGTTGTGCAGAATATGCTTGGCTGCATTATCTATTCTTTGCATAAAGATACCGCCTTCCGTATACAGCGGATTGGTTTAGGGTCGCCTACGCAGGCAGTCAGGCTACCATGGCATCTTTCTATCTAAACTGTTCGTCATGATGTCTCTTATGACTCATTCCAGTGAGAATACTGCTGTCTTTTGTCAACGTGCCTAGGACTGAAAACAACAGAACTAACAAGTAACAACGACGGAATTTCTCACATATTGCCCCCCAGACTTCGTCCCTGGAAGCAGGGTTGTAGCAGTATGTGGAGTTATTGACCGAAATGACAGTGCCAGCCCTGAGAGGGATGGAAGCCTCTTGTCGGACTTCTATTTGTTCCATCATCTCCTATCGGAGAATGGTAAGAATATCACCCTCCTCAATACATGGAGCTTAGCTGACGAAATGTCTAGGTTTTGCCCAAGCTGATCAGTTCTGGCTCACCTCTGAGAACCCCGAGGACCTGGTCCGAAAGTACAAGCAGTACACGCATGAGGGCTAGTAAGGATATCGGCGAATCGTTCTGGATGAAGCGATGCTTCCTATGGAAAAATTGAGTATTGTTCCGCGCAAGGACCTTTGTAAAAGTTTCCTGAATACAATTCGAGAACAAGCCCAGATTGCACAACACGATTGTCAAGATCTGCTTGTTCTGGTTTTCGGTCATGGGGATCTTGATACCTTGGGGTGGCTGTTGGTGATTATACTGTCTTCATGAAAAACATCATCACACTGCTTCCTAGTGATTTATCAGTCATCCTGTTTATAGCATCTTGTTATTCCGGAGGCTGGCTTGTCCGGCCGGATCTCACTGGGGTGCGTTTTGATTGTTTAGCCATGGGCAAGAAAATGCGTTTAAGCACCAGTCTGGCCGCCTCTATCATCTTCGAACCGTCGATTGCCATTGAAGAAGGTTTCAAAGCACTAACAAAATACGAAAGAAAATATGCTATCTTTGAGACTTTCAAAAAGCTGTATTGCGGAGAGATCCAACAAATGCACTTCAGTGCACAAAACAACGATTGGGAGGGAAACTATGCGCCCCGTCTCGGGCTCCCACTTGAAACATACAAAGCCCGATGGGAATCTCTTAGAGGATCCCCAGAGATAGAGCCTACTGACAAAAGTTCTAACTCAGGAAACATGTAGAGACTCCAAATGTTGAAAGTTCTGGCTCGAGAGTACTTCTCTGCCAAGCCTGGCTCCGGCAATGCTGCACCCAACATAAGGTTACATAACCAACTCAGATTCGTCCTCCTTGAGAGAGCTGACTACTCGGATTCACTGCTGAATGATCATTGGACGCAGTAACGTACAGACTTGGTTTATTGCATGAAGCAGACTACTTCCGGGAACAAATGGGACTCGGATTTCCTTCGATTTTTGACGTTGACACAATCCTCTGGAGACACAATGACACTTCCAAGGATCGGTCAATGAAATAGAACGTTAGTACCAAGATTTGGGATCTCATTCTGCGAGAAAATCAGTTTGTGACAAACCAATCGGGGAAGGGGAGGGGGGGGACATTCTTATACGGAACCTCTGAATTACCTGGTCATAGCCCTCAGTGAGTCGAGACTGAGATGGAACGAGATTGAAGATAGGATCAACAACGCAGCTTCACGAAAAGGAGGTTGTCGTCGCTTAATAAGCGAGAAATTGGCCTTGGATCTGGTTGCAAGGTTACAAAAAGGGCCTAATGAACGATAGTCAACCACTATGAGCACGCACATGGGGATCACAAAGGAGAGTGGCGGATCATGTTGGAACGAGTCCGCGAGAAACTTGCGTGTATATAACGGACATCTCTGCAGGTAACCTTGTTCATGACTTTATGCTAATCAGGGGATTGGCTCGTACGGCCAAACCTCACTAGATCCTGCCAATTTCTCAGGGCCGTCGACCAAGTGTCCCATGGGGCAGCGCAACAGATGCACTCTTCCAACCCGTTCCTACTGGGCTTCCAGATTGTCTCTTCGACACATCCAGAAGACTTCCATGATTTAATCCAAGTCTGAAGCTTCCATAGATCGAATTGCCCGGATGAAAGCTTGCGACTCTGCGATAATGTCGACGTCTGTTCAATGTTCGAATCTCAGTCGTGATGCGCTAAAGTACTGCACGTCGCACCCTCGTGGATTTTACTAACTCCCTTGTGCTTGCCAGATGATCAGCAATGATAAACTTGCAAGCCTTGCTCGTTCTCTTTACTTTGCTTTTGGCTTCCAGACGTAGGGTTAAATAGTGGGCTAGCTGTACGGGGTTGTAAGACTACCGAAGAGCTGCATGAAGTTAGAAAATAACAAACACCTAACTTTCCAATATCACACTCTGTGGCATTTCTTTCATATAATCCTCACTATCAAGTAAATATCCGACAAGCTTTTCAGGGCTGTATACCTGCCAAGCCGCGTTATCAATCGGTTCACCGCCCTGATATCAGTGGGATATCCCTTCATCAACCATTCTGTCAATTCTGTCCTCAATTCATTGCATCAAGATACCCCATTATACCCTCCAAATCACAAAAAGACAAACCAAAATGTCCGAAAAACAACCCCTCACATCAAACATGGACTCCCCTCCCGCCTACGAAGCAGCACCACCAACCCGCACCCCTCTACCACGCCCACCACCCCTCTCCCTCCCCTTCCTCAACGACCTCCGCAACAAGCGCGTAATCCTCGCCTCTGCCTCCCCACGCCGCCGCCAGATAATGTCCCTCCTGGGCCTCCCCAACATCGAAATCATCCCCTCCAACTCCCCCGAAGACCTTCCCAAGACCCTCCAACCATTCGAGTACGTGCTAGCCACGGCCTCGAAAAAAGCACACGCGGTGTACGAGCAGGAAATCTCGAACGAAGAAAAGGGTGAACCGGGGTTAATCCTGGCAGCCGATACAATTGTCGTCGACAGTTCCAGCGGCGCGATCCTCGAGAAACCGCATTCCGAGGCTGGGCATGTCGCCATGCTCAAGGCCCTCCGCAACGCACGGAATCATAAAGTCTACACCGCTATCGCTGCAATGGCACCGCTAGCTAGTGCGCGGGACCCCGGGTACGCTGTTGAGACTGCGATTGAGGAGACGGCGGTGAAGTTTGACGCGGGTGTTACGGATGAGTTGATATTGGCGTATGTGCGGACGAGGGAGGGGGTTGATAAAGCCGGTGGGTATGGGATTCAGGGTTTGGGGAGTATGCTTGTGGAGGGGATTGAGGGGAGTTATGATAATGTGGTTGGGTTGCCGTTGAAGACTACGTTGGGGATTATTGAGAAGGTTATGGCGAGGGCGGATGATGATGATCGGTTGGCTGGGGAGGAGGGGGATGAGGAGGGGAGTGAGTTGGAGGAGGAGTAATGGTCTCTTTTGGGGGGTAATATTTGTGAGGAAGTCGCTGAGCGGCAAAGACTATAACCCATCGAAACTCGACGTTGCCTCAAAGTAAGCACGAACCTAATTTGGTATGAGATGAAGCTGCGTTCCATGTACTCCGTACCGTCAAGCTCAAATATCCATCTTGACGGCATATGAACATGCGACATATCTATGAGTTAGCCACATTTGTATCATCTGCAGATCATCTACCTCATGAATGACGATCATTCAAGATTTCTGCCTGTTATTGCCTCAATCAACCCAATATACACTGTCAGTGAAGTGGCAGACGAGCAAGCCTAAATGGAAAAACAAGATACCAGAGCAGAAGAACACACCAATGATGGATAAATCACCGAATACCACCAGCCAAAGACATGGTGAGTTCCCTTGTTCCACAGGCTCGCACTTGAATTAAGCCGAACTAACCATCCCAGTCCCTACACAAAAGAACCCATAACCCTCTTCCGCCAAAAGGCGCAAAAATATCACGTCCCGTGGCATCTCATCAAACAAGTCCCATCACTCGCCATCCGCACAGCGTGCTCAGTCCTGTCTCTCGTCAGGGCTCATGCAATGCGGTATATGAGGGTTTTTGAGGATGGGGTTGATATTCACGGCATTTTGGCTGTAGGGAGGTGTTTCCTTTGTTTGATAAACACCATGAGTTGTTCTGTGGGTATCATGAGTATTTGAAGGAGAAATTGGGGGCTGCTGTTGAAGCGAATGAAGACTTCAATGATCTGATCAGTGATTTGGACAGGAGTTTGACCACTTTGCTGTGAGACATGTGTTATCGTTGTATGCGTCCAGGATCGCTAAGCTTGGGAAAGATGTCGAGGACCTAAAGGCTCTTACGAAAAGTTTCCGTGAGGACCGGGTTATCAAACTGAAGGACTGTCAGGTGGTTTTTGAAAAGGCCGTTCCATTGCCTCTTGTCCAGGAACCCGCTCGTGCTGCTCTGACTCCAGTGATTTCTGAAGCATCATCGAGTGATACAGAATCATTGGGCAGTGAGACTGAATTTGTCAAGATCAGGAAAGATGAATGAAGTATCAGCGTTGGATAGTTTTACAACGAATATACAAGAAAAAACCCGACTCAATGAAATAAAACAAGAAATGAAAGAACAATGTCTATGGTATCAGTTTATGCCTTCCAGATTCTCCGAAGTCCCTCTGTGATACCAACGTCGTTTGTCTCGAGCTCGTACAATCCAACAGCGGTGGTGAGGGTAGTAAGACGCAGGAGCCAGGAGCAGAGAGCCCGGGTCTTGGGAACGCGCTGCTTGGGGAAGTAGTCGACGATAGATGCCCTGTGATTTGTAAGTTGATGTTCTCTCTTTTACCCTTCTGGTGGAAGTGACGTGACATACTCGAATCCAATGTGCGAGTGGAGGACCAAAAGCGAGCAGAGAGCGGCGTCGGTGACGGGGTGGAGAGAACCAGCGGCGAAAGGAGCGATGGTTAGGGGGACGAGACCAACGCAGACGAGTCTATTTTTATGAGTATGTTGTCGCATGAGGTTGTATCACCGGAGTGTCGGGGGATCACACGCACCTCTCAAAAGACCAGTGGTAGCTACCGTGCGAAGGAGAAGTGTGAGGAATGGGGGCAGGGTCGTTGACTGTAATCGTGAAACCATGTCAATCTCGATTCTACATGCAGATAGACGTTGTGATATCGAAGTTTCCGGGGCATGGCCAAGACAAGCCGTAACGATCGCAATCACTGGGGGTTATATCGACGAAGGGCAATTCGCATACCTGTTCCCTGGATAGCCTCTGCATAAGCACATTCGTTAGCACATATCCAATTTCATTCTCCGTGTCCATGTCTATTTCCATCCCCGCCTGATATATGCAATCCCCCCCGGAACCCCCATTCACCATCCACCTCAATCTCAATCCAATCGACAACTGCAAAGCGGTCACTCACGAGGCAAAGGAGGCAGAATCTGCTTCTTAGCAGAGGCGTGGAAAGCAACGACCTGCGACACACCCGCGGCGTTGCGGTTCACAAGCGGTGCCCGGATAGCCGACAGGCAGGACTGCCGGAGCAGAGGGGACTGGCGCGCGAACGAAGCCATGGCGTTATTCGGAGGTATCGTAAAGAGACAAGTTCAAGCAACACACACACACACACACAAAGGAGCCACAACACTGAGCAGGAGAAATCGATCGCAAAAGACGTTCGAAGTTGGAGCAACCTCGGAAAGGCGAGTCGGGATGCGGTCATCATATTATGGGTTATGTGATTGGTCGGTTGCTCTCCGCCCAGCCGAAAATGGCCGATGCCCGGCAATTGGCTTTAAACTAGGTTATTCCTTTCTATGCTCTACATATGCAGTAGTTAATCTACTTGGTTGTGAAGGTAAAGGTTATATATTCTGCTTCCCCTGCACTGCGACAAGGTAGTGTCTTACTTGCTTACAATCTGCTGTCAAAACAGAAATACAAAGCATTCGTGATCTGGGCTGAAAAACATTTATGCGCAAGAAAATTGATTCACAGTATCTCAAAATTTTATATATCAAAGTACATCGTCAATCATGTCATCTAGAACTTGAGAACAGCCTTGCCCAAGTTCTTTCCGTGGAAGATTCCAACCAGTCCCTCAGCCGCGTTGTCAATACCAACGGTCTCGTGGATGAGAGGCTTGAAGGAGCCCTCCTTGATCCACTGCTGCACGTACATTTGGTGATCCGAAGCGTACTTGTCACCCATACCAGGGTCACCGACGATGAAACCGCGCATGTCAATACGCTTAATGAGCACGTTGTGGATGTTCTTGATGGGGTAGGGGTCCGAATTGTACTGCGAGATGAGGCCGCAAACGACAATACGACCAAAGTTGTTCAGAGCGTCCAGAGCGGCCGCCATGTGCTCACCACCAACGTTCTCGTAGTAGATGTCGATACCGTCAGGGGCCAAGCGGGTCAGAGCGTCTGCGGGCTTCTCGTTCTTGTAGTTGAAGCCGCTGTCGAAACCCAGCTCCTCGATGATGTGCTTCAGCTTCTCGTCCGAGCCAACACTGCCAATGACCTTGAGACCCTCGTGCTTGGCGATCTGACCAACCAGCTGGCCGACAGCACCACTTGCCGCAGAGATGAAGATGGTCTCACCCTTCTTGGGCTTACCGATCTCATAGAGCGACGAGTAGGCGGTCAGACCGGGCATACCCAGGGGACCAAGGTAGACACGGATGTCCTCAATTTTCAAGGGGTTCTGAAGCACGCTGAGGACAGCAGAGATCTGCTCGCCGTTCAGGGCGATGTAATCCTGGATGGGGATGTGGCCGACGACGATGTCGCCCTCCTTGTAGGTGTCATTGTTGGAGCGGATAACCTTAGCGATGGAGCGGCTGTTGAGTGGCTCGTTGATGTGGAAGGGAGGAGCGTAGGACTTGATGTGAGCAGGGCGCATACGGCCACGCATGTAGGGGTCGAAGCTGGTGTAGAGCGACTGAACGACGACACCGTTTTCGGGGGCGGGCACGTCGGCGTCATAGGCGGCGGACTCGACGACAATGTGCTCACCGGGGACGGGGTATCCCTCGGGGATCTTCTTGAAGACAAGAGTCTTGTTGGAGGGCATGGTGTAGTATATAGTGATTATATAACGATAAAAAAGACTAAGGGATATCTCGTATGAAATGTGAAGAAGATACAGTATCCTGGGCGAATGCGACTACTTGTACTGCAGCGTGGGGCTGAACCAGAAAACCCTTCCACGTTGCGCAGAAGTTTCTCGAGGCTATTTGATGGGCTGATTAACTCGGAACCTTACTCTATTACAGTGTCACAACGGGAGAAGTCACCTTCTGGGCAAGAGCACCGCGAATTTGATTGTTAAGCAGCCATGATATACCTCGGTGTTATCCAAACTAGGTAAGAGACAGGTTTTATGTTGGAGTTATGCTTGTTTGCAATATGATGTGCCCATTGCTTAATCGAAATCTTGATCTCTACTATGGACAAGTCATGGTTACTTCTTACTTGTGTTGTCGTAAGCCCCCTTACATATAGCCTTATTTCTTTTGCTTACTTGCAGGGACATCCCAGTATCCCAGTAAAATCGGTCGAAACACACCAATGCAATGCTGTTTATGCATGATTCGTGCCGCCTGCCGAATTGCGGATTCGAACCATCTCACCGCCTTCTTAGCTCTAGCAGGCGGTGTAGAGCCCCTCCTAGATCCGAATTTGGTTAGACTAAACATGTGCCGTTATGGCATATCTTATCTTATGCCGTTGCATTATGACTAATCAGCATAACGTATTTATGCAAGACTACATCCCAACGCTTCAATTGTTGTCCAACTGCTTCTACCCCTAGGGGACCTCTATCAAATCTATCAATTCTCTCCTTCTCTCAATTCTCTTCACTATTTTCACTAATGACGGCTGTACGGAACTGCCCTCAAAAGCGCTGTATGCTCCGAGCTCTCTGATTGGCTAGTGATAGCGCCGCCCCCAGAAAAAAAAAAATCTCGGGCATTTTGCTTTGCCTCCGGCTTGGACATTTTTTCTTAGTCCATCCTCCATCTCTCCCTCTCTATCATCCTCTCCCTTTTCTGATTCGGATTGATTCTGTGAGCCGGAATCGCTTCTTTCTCTTATTCTTTGTTATTTCCCGGCTTCAATCCGTGTCAGTCAGAATGTTGTGTGCGCTTCGCCGGCATGGAGTCGCGCAGGCCCTGCGGGCTTCTACCTCTCGATCCTTCGTTGCGAGATCGACTCCTCAGCTGCTGAAATTGCAGCCCTCGAATAGCAGCCCGGCTGCCTTCCCTCAAATCCATCGATCGTTGCATGTCTCCGCTACCCGGTTTCAAGCTGCCCAGGCGGAGGCTGTGGCCAGCGAGGAGGAGCCTGCCACGCCCCAGCGATTGACCGAATTCGCGGACCTGGCAAGTCATGGATTGGTGGATAAGAAGATCATTGATCAGATTACCCGGTTTATGAAGATCAAGACCATGACCGATGTGCAAAGCATGACTATCAATGAGACTTTGCAGGGTGATGATGTGTATGTTTCACTCTGCGCCTTTCCATTTTCCTTACGTTTTCGAGATACTGACTATTGTCTCTTGATAGCCTGGCCCAAGCGAAGACCGGAACAGGAAAGACTCTGGCCTTCCTCGTTCCCGTGATTCACAATATCATGAAAGACATGCAGCCTCAGCCTCAGGCCAGAGGTTCGTACAGACGGCGCGCCCAGTCCAGCGATATCCGAGGCATCATTATCTCGCCTACCCGTGAACTGGCCGAACAGATTGCAACGGAAGCCTTGAAGGTGTCGCGTGGTACTGGAATTGTTGTGCAGACTGCGGTTGGTGGCACGCAGAGACGCGAGAAACTCCGGGCTATCCAAAGGGAAGGATGCCACCTGCTGATCGGTACCCCGGGACGGTTGAAGGATATCTTATCTGACCCGACTACCGGTGTCACAGCCCCACGCCTGTCGTCTTTCGTTTTGGATGAGGCTGATCGTCTGTTGGATGATGGATTTGCGCCGGACATCATGGAGATCCAAACCCTCCTTCCCAACCGCGACGAGGTTGACCGCCAGACGCTCATGTTTTCGGCTACTGTTCCCAGGGAGGTCATGGCCATGGTTCGTAAAACGATGAAGCGTGACTTCCGATTCCTGAAGACGGTTCAGGAGGATGAGGTGCCAACTCACTTCCGGGTACCGCAGAAGGGTATTGTTCTTCCTGGATTGGAGAATGCTCTCCCTGCGGTCCTTGAAATGGCCCAGACCCAATGGGCTCAGCGGTCAGAAGACCGCAGCCAGCGTCCTTTCAAGGCAATTGTCTACTTCAACTCGACTTGCGAAGTCAAGCTTGCTTTTGATGCTTTCATGCACTTGCGCCGCCAAAGGAAGATGGGCGGAATGGCGATCTATGATATCCACTCACGTCTGACTCAAGCCGCGAGAACAAGAAACGCAGACGGCTTCCGGCAAGCTCGTTCTGGAATCCTTCTCTCGTCTGATGTGACTGCCCGTGGAATGGACTTCCCGGAGGTCACCCACGTCATCCAAGTCGGTGTTCCTCGCGATACTCCCACATACATTCACCGTCTGGGTCGTACTGGACGCGCAGGCAAGGAGGGTGAAGGATGGATCATGTTCCACGAGGGTGAAATGCGAACTTTCCGGAACAAGCTTGGTGAACTCCCCATCGAAATGGACGAAACCTCCCTCCCCACCTCCAAAGTCGACTTGACCGACGACCAGGCCGAACACCCAGCCGCCGTATCCGAAACCCTGGCCCAGATCCAGGACGCAATGGAGAACACCCCCGCCAGCTCCAAAGAAGAAGCCTACAGATCGCAATTCGGTTCCCTTCTGCCGTCCTTTTACAACAAGTCCGCTGCAGTCGATGCCATGAACAAGCTTGCCGTGCACGGCTACGGCCTTTCGAACCCGCCGCACATGTCCCCCATGCTCCTCGAAAAAATGGGTCTTAACAGGAGTCGGGGAGTTAGATCATCGGACCGTTCGATGGGTGGTCGGGGCCGAGCGATGGATCGCCCCCCTATGCGTGGAGGCATGGACCGCCCTCGCTTCGTCGAGCATGGCCGGGGCCGCCGTGATGATGGCAACTCCTGGAATAACAGGCGCGGTGGTGGTGAGTTTCGTGAGAGGAGTGGCGGCCGCAATCGCGACTCCTGGGGCGGCCGTGGCCGGTACTAAAAATAACGCAGCTTCGAAACTGGGTTACAGGATTTGCTGAGATAGAGGGCATCTTTAAAAAGATATTCTCATGCATGACGATACCCGCTTTCTTTTCTTTCATAAAAAAAAAAAGCACACTACCAAGTTGCATCTGACGGCGTTTTATGTGTTGGGCAATTATGATTCTATCTCTCTTCTCTCGGATCTTTCACTCACAAGTATAGAAATGTTCTTTTCTGGCTTTGTCATGCATGGGTACGGTTTTGGATTTGTTTCTTAATGTATTAGTATTTGTTTCTCGTTTTTCATGGGTTGTATTCTAAAATATCGGAATGGGGTCACGATCACGTCTACGTCTACGTTTACCATAGAAGTCAGTTAATCAATATACCTGATCTGGATTTGTTTGAATCGTCACCCTTCAATTCTACCCTAGCATTACAAACTCGTTCCAGTGTCTTGACGCGTATCCAACGAGACGTTGGTTTCCATATAGGATTAAGTCTCTAACAGCCAGTATCGTCAAAGACCAAACAGTGTCTTCCAGTAAGTTTCTCGCTATTCAATGAATAAAAAATCATTGCCACTGCCATCGCCTTTACATAAGAAGACTCTGGACGAAGACCAGCAGGCCAAGCCTGCCTCCTTCTACGCCTCTAATGCTGTCTGTCTCATTTGTCCTTGAAATATGAGCTCAGGTCGACGACCACAGGAGACCACAATGTCTCCGCATGACCGTAGATGTTCTGTGTGTTTCTGGCGCTGCATACGTTTCTCTTCTTGTTGAAATAATAGCATGGGGCACGTCCCTTTCGTCCTGGTTGTGTCGTGGATACCCGACCTTTAAAATATCGTCAGGGACAAGTATCTTGTTCCACAATTGAGTTGGTTACCTGATAGAACCTGGGACGCATCCAGGTTGCCTCTGGTCGCTGTTCGGCATGCGATGTCTGGTATCGTGTGCCATGCTTGGGTGATATGATCTTGATCTGCTTAACACTTGTCTCCATTATTCGCGCGACACTATTGTCGGCGTAAGCATGTTCGAAGAAGTCTATTAGCAGATTTTCATCATGTGCTCGCTTTTTTTTTTTTTTCGTTAGTTTTGAGCCTCCGCATATTTGGCTGTCTTTTTTATCATGTCAATATGTACGGGATACTTTGAGCGTTCTCTCACGGCTTTGGATCCTTCAAACGACTAGAAACCGATTGTCACTGGCTACCATTTATTGCTTGCGTTAATAGTCAACTTCGAGATTGGGTTTCGACAGTTCCAGTAAATGTACCGTATTAGATGCGTGATCGTTTACTCTTTTTCGTCCAAATTTTCGCACAGCATGTCTTCCGCTGCTAGCAGCAGCAGTATCACATGTGGGAAACATATCCTGAGTCTTCCTCTTGCTATCCATTAAGACTTCAGTCGGGCATTCCAGGATCTGTCCGTTCTTCCGCTCATTCGTTGGTGCTAGCGAGGTTGAATATCGATATTCGCTTGTTCAAATCCACGTAGAGCCACCAGCATTGGCCGTGGACAATAAACGCTAAATCGGGCAACTGGCATGAGCCAGCTCGCGTCATTTCTTAAGTACGCAGCGGGAGAAAAAAAAAAAAAAAAAAAAAGGTAGACTTGGAGCGTCACCTAGATGAAGTCCTCTTCATTTGCGTTGAATAATCAGTGAAGAATGGTATCTCGCGAAGGCCAATAATGGACACACAGCACTCTGTGCTCTGACGGTTGCAACCCTCGAAAAGTAGTTGGAGGAAGAGGCGTTTGTCGGAGTGAAGGGCTAGTTCTCTGGAAGAGAGATAAAAGATTTAAGAAAACCAAGAAATAGGGTTGGTCAGAAGGAGCGATGGTGAATAGAGCATCAGGTCGGCCCTGACTAGTTCTAGTGAATATCAATATTGTCCCAATGTCTCTACATAAGATCGTGCTCTCTTTCGTATACAGCATCACTCCGAATCCGAAATGAAAATGAAGTCAATTCTCCTTGTTCAATGCCGAGTTCTGGGCTCTGTCAAACATCGTCAAAGCAGAGAATAAAAAATGATAGAAAACTATCCTTGGGTGACTTTTCGGGGACAGAAACAGAATGGTAAATACCGAAAATGTTAAGAAAAGGCCATTATTGTTTTGTACTTCTATCTTAATTGACTGATCTTCAGGGCGCGAAATTCTTAAAGTCGATATACCACGACTCTGGTTCCAGGATTAAGGAGACCAAAACTGGGATTCCGGGCTGTGGTGAAAAACCATGAAGCCGCAGATTTCGATCCTAGCAGATTCGACTTTCTGAAAGAGGCACCTGTCTCGCCAGAGTCCGCCAATTGTCCCGCCAGTTGGCCATTAAACCGACGAAGATACTCCACTCGTGAAAGGAACCGAGTCACTGGGCCAGCGCATTTTTCGGCTGGCCGAAGAGGCTCTTGCTGATGCCCGAAGACGGAATAAGGTTAATCATAGCTCGAGTTCCGTTCAGCGCTCCAATATTGAAGCCAACACAATCGCTTAAGCTTGGGCGGACATTCCAAGGTTGTTTTCACCCTTAGCACTACCATTGGACGGCTATGTAAACCAATTCGGATAGATGTCTCGTGAATGACTCCAAATAGAACGAAACATCTGCTCCGAGATCATAGACTTTTCTGCGTCTATAGACAGAAGGAAATTCGGGAACAAGGACCTTTGAGGACGCAAGAGGCTTCCCATACTCACTCTGGCCGTAGAAATTATACCTACGAGCGACGTCTAGGAAGCTCCTGCGAACGCCAACACCATTGCGAGTGCCTCTCAGAGCACGGCCACCAGTACCTCCCAGGAAACGAACCTTACGAAGGTCAATGATTGGATGTGGATCTACTTTGGGCTTGATACATTGCCCACATTGATATAGGAAGCCGGTCAGATAAATTCCATACATGAGTGGACACGAACGGCCATCTTCTCGTGCGTCTTGTCCAGTGCGGTTGGTGTTTTCATATCCTTTGAAGGGCTGGCTGTAACTCAGGTCTACATAATCCTATACGAGACAATTAATCAAATGATACAGATCTCTACATTGACTATCTTGTATAGAAGCAGTAATTATTCTCACTATAAACGTACATCAAGGCAAAAGCCCTAACGCCACGCCTCCATCAACTCATACAACGTCGACTCACTGCCCACATTCCCCGGAAAGACCACAAACGGAGAACCTCGGTGTCTAGACGAACGCTCATCGCATCGCCAAAGCGGTACACCCGGCGCAGCCTGTCCAACAACCAGCGCACGTTTGATATTAAGGCCCTTGGTAGCGGCGTCGGATGAGGTGATTCCGCCCTACGATATCATTAGCATCCTGTAAGAGAAAATGCAAACGGTAATAGAGATAGCAATCATACCTTTGCGATAATATACCGCGGCCGTACTTCAATTCCCTGCAGGACTCTCACGACTGCTTCCGCGACAGTCGTGCCGATGGCCAGCGAAGAGAGTTTGTCGTCGCCAGTTACAAGCTTCCGGCTCGTCATGACCAATGTATCTTTTCCGGATTGGAGATATTGTTCAGTCTCTTTGACGATGTTTTGGATCGTGCGGAGGGCGGATTCATGCGATTCAAGAAGCTCTTCCACCTTGATCTCGATGATGGCTAAGTCCTTGTTGTTCTCCTTGCTGCGGTTTATCAATGTGTCCACCTGCGTGGTTGTCTTGGGGACGTAGGAGCCGACGAGTATCAGTCCACCTGTCCGTCTGGGCGAGGGGAGGTGTAGTTCGCTTGCTGTAATGGGGGCCTTGGCACGGATTCCCAGGCGGGAGGATACGAACGCCGCGCCTGTGCGGTAGAGGAAATGCTTTCCCTTTGCTTCGGCTGCCATCTGTTAGAATCACTTTTCCAGGTCAGACAAACAGAGAAGGCATACCTAGCAACAACCCAGCCACAAAAACATGCATATCCGACTCCGCAGCCGCATTAACAATAACCACTCCTCCCCCAGAGATCCCGAAAAGTTTCTCACAAACCCCCTCCGGCCCTCCATTCCTTATATCCCCAATAGAAACAGAATGCAGCTGCTCCGACTTAAACCGCCCCGGCGCCTTCTCCATAACATAATCCCTCAAGTTCGAACTCTCATACCCAAACATCGCATCTTTCGCAAACTGCGTCCCTCCAGCAGGAACCAGCCTCTCCCCCTCCGCAACATAATGCACATCGCTTATCGTGAACCGTCCTCCCTGATAGAAAAACGGCGCTAGGACCCACGCATCCGCCTCCCCGAATACAGTCTGTGCAACGTCCGCCTCGAGCGGGAAGTGGCCCCGTAGCGTGCTATCGCTGCGGAGGACGATGTCGACACTTTGTTCGGTTGCTTTAGCAGCTTGCGCTACAGTCTGACAGATCTCGTAGATTATATTTTCTGCTTCTGTGGGCGGAAGCGCGCGGGAGTTAGTTAGGATGAAGAAACCCCGGGAGGAGCGCTGGAATTCTTCGACGAGGGTGTTGATGTCCCAGACGGCGAGGACGGAGATGTCGTGGCAGGTTTGGGTTCCGGTTGGGTCGTCGTCGAGAACGACGAGGCGGTTTTGGGAGAATGTTGAGAGGAAGTTTGTGATTTGGTCTTGTGCGTCGGTGGGATATTCGGGTGGGAGTTGGGCTAGGATGTCGGCGCGGGGGAGGACGGGGTAGACTGGGGGTGATGGCATTGTGGTTGTTGTAATTGGTTTTTCTTTTTTTTTTTTTTTTGTCTTCTTCTCTCTGTTGTTTTCTAGTGTTTAATAGTAGATTTGTCTAGGCAATGGGGTCAAATATTGTGAGGACCGGAAGAGACATCGCAAAGAATCGGGGAAGTATGTGGGGAGATCGGCCAAAACTCGTTGCTTGTTGTCCTATCTAATGTACCTATTGCATCAATACTACCGTCTAACAGCTCAACTCGACTCTCCCCCGGTCAATAAAAAGTGTCGCAGCAACTTAGTAATCGACAACCTCTTCTGAGGATCCCACTGCAACATCAAAAGAAGGAACGAAGCCAGACTCTGGACATTCTCATAACCAAAGTCAGGCGGTAACCTATCCCTCAAGTGCTTTATAAAGTCACTACCAAGCACATGTTCGATTTCATCGCGGTATACTTCATCAGTCTTTTCCTTGGCGCAGAAGAAAGGCATGGCCTCGAACAAGAGCTGGTGTGTTGCTAGTTCGAATATCTGGATACATGATTAGATGAAAGAATCCATTTTAGGGTAGGGAAGTCAACATACCAGGCAGCCCAAAGTCCAAACATCAATTTTCTCATCGCAAGGCTTCATGTCGATTAGCTCAGGAGCCCGTAAGGCTACTGGGGTCACTGGTTTCTGGTCAAACTGGTCACTTCGTAATGCTGTAATCACATGTTAGAACTTGTATACCCGTGATAATAGATTTGTCTTACCTCCACCCAAATCACCAATCTTTACCAATATCTCAGACGTCTCGATGTTATCCAATCGCGCCTGATGCCGCTGTGGTGTTACCAGATACTCCGGAGCACTATCATCCTGCATTACCCCTTCCAGCCACTTGACAGGAATGAGAACAGGAGGATTCAAAAGTTCGTCATATCGATCGACTTCCGCAGTTGAGAACAAGATATTCACAGGTTGCAAGTCAGTGTGAACAATGCCCCGTCGATGCAGAAAATCCAACCCTAACAGAACCTTTTTAGTGTAAATTTTCTTGAAGCGGGCCATATTCGCCTGAAAGCTTCTCAGCAAGAGTTGAATATTGAGTAAGAAAAAGTAATGTCATGGTAGGCGGTGTATTAGGCAGAAGCTCTAGGCATCTGCTATCATACCCTAATACTTCAATACTAATCGAGCTGTGGAGTGTTGCAACACGAAAGTCTCACGCACCGTCCGTCGGAGCTTGATACCTACCCACTGCACACATGCCTCCGATAAGTTTTAGCTGATTTCCCCCAGTTAAGAACGGATAGCGGAGTAGCTCTTTGATCGGCATCCTATCTGCAGGTTCAAGTTGCAGCATCAACAGAAGGAACCATGCCAGATTCTGGATATTCTCATCGCCGCCAAAGTCAGACCCACACAGTTCTATAAAAAGCTTCAGGTGGTCGGCGAAACAGGTACAGCCGGCTGAATGTTTCATCTTAAGGCAGTGGTGCCCTTGGTCGTTTTCCTTATTTGCGAAAAGAGATTTTGCAAGAGAGAGGGACAGGTTTATCGCCATTTCGGATAACTTTACACAGAGTCAGATGAACCATATGCATCTCAAGATAGGAAAGTTGACGTACTAGGCAGCCCAAGGTCCAGATATTCAGATTCACATCCTGTGTGCTTGTCTTGATTGGGTCAAACGAGGCTAGGGCTTTCGAGGATGGTCGTTTCTGGTTGACCGGCGCTCCGATGTCTGCCGCTGTAATTACATGTGAGACTCTTGGTAAATTTGAGGTGACAACAGATGTGCCTTGCCTTGGCTCAGACGTCCAATTTTGATCACGAGTTTGGATGCATCTATCTCGCCCAATTCAGCCCGACGCCGTTGTGGTATCATGAGATATTTCAGGACACTAGCATCATGCTTTCCTTCTTCGACATGACCAAACTCTAGCGATTCCGAGAACTCCTGATTGTCTTCAATGTCTGCAACTAAAAAAAGAACGTTGACTGGCTGCGGGTCTATATCAAGGTCAGCCATCTTGAAAGCAATGCCCTTGAACGCGCCATTACTTACCGCAATGGACAATTCCCTGCTCATGGAGAAAATCCAATCCTAGCATGATCTTTTCAGAAACAATCCGCACATGCTCTATAGAGCGAGGATATCCCATGCAGGTCATCTCTCTTCCGTCAGATAACCCCCCATGTTCGACGGAAGTTGCTCAGTAGAATGAGTGAGAAGGGTGACGATTTGGGCTAGAGGCTGGAAAATGACGATGATCGACGATGGACCGGTTGTAAGATGAGATAATAGACAAGATGATAGAGAGAGAGCGAGGAGCAAGGGGAGAAAGAGAGAAGGGAGAAGGAGGAGAAAAAGAAAGAGGGAGATGCAGCGTACTAAGACACTGGCAAAGTGAATGAGAGGCGAGCGGTGTGGTTGGCCCGGGATACATGCAAGAACCCTAGTGGAATAGCACCCTCAGTTAAACAAGACATGTTCTCTTTATGTACAGCTCAGTCAGGATAATCCTCACGATGATACTGGATACAGCCCTAGCCATCTGCTATCATCTGAAACCAGTCTTATTCAGTCTATTAAGGTCATGCTAGAGCCCGGGGTCTTCTCGGCTATAAACAGAAAGGAATGAAAGAGAAAAGAAAGAAGACAACATTGTATGTGAGAAAATCAGATACAATATGCAAGAACCATCATGGTCAAGATCAAGACAAAGTGACAAGGATGCAAATATTGCTGGCCGGTAGAAGCAACAGCAAATGCAGGACGAAAAAAGAAAACAATCAAATGAAAGGAATCGAGCCCCAAACCAAGGATAAAAGACAAGAAAAAGAAAAAACAAAGATTGCAGCCGGTCATTACACATATCATCCCATTTTGTTCCCTTGAGAAACCATTTCCTTTGCTGTCCGACTCCCCAACCAACAATCCCATGCATGAAAACACAATGAAAAACAACGCAAATGAAGGTAATTGGCAAGTGATGAAACAATGGCAACAGAAGTAAAAGGCTCAACCAACAACACTGCGGAAACTCAACGCTTCGAGGAACCCTCCCAGATCTTCCTTTTGCACTTCGACCACACAGTGCTCGAAGCTATCGATCCGGACGCGCGCGTTGGTTTCCTGCACAACTTCCTGGAACGCAATACCGAACCGATTCCGCAAGAGATGTCTGTCCGCGCGCGGATCCTGTTCATCTTCGGATTCGGACTCGGACTCGGATGACGATTCCTCTTCACTCTCTTCCTCGTCCTCTTCACCAGTTTCGCTGCGTTCAAGCCGTTCTGTAGCACGCTTTGCGCGGCGTTCTGATCGTTCTCGTTGCTTCTTATCCTTAGCTTCCTTCTTCTTCCGGCGCTCTTCTTGCCGTTTGTGCATAGCAGAAAAGTCAACGACACCTCCACCTCCGCCGGTTCCAACGATCACGTAAAGGTCTCGGTCCTCGTCCAGTCCAGCTATAACGAGGGGAGTCCCCGCGGCGCGCTTCTTGCCAACTTTGACGGTGTCACTTCGTTCCCGCTCTTGCACACGAATGGCTTCGGCAATCCAGAGTGCGAGCTTAGTCAGTGCCCCCGGATTTGTGAACAGTTTGGCATCTGGCCCGTCCTTGACGACCGCGATGCGGAATGCTCGCAAATGTCGAATCTGGTGTTTCGAAAGTAACGATGTGCCAGTTTGGAGGATAGCGCGGTGGAGATGTTGGGCTAAGGGAAGCGCTTCGAGAAGGAGGGTAGGAGACTCAGATGTGAGGGATAGGGCATCGTATGCGCTCCAGAACCGAGGTAGGAGGCTGGATAGGTCGGATTCAGTAGACCCATCGACGTTGGCATCGTCGTTAAATTTCCTCGGTCGTGGTAGTCGTCTTGTATCCCAACCGGCGGCAAGCTCCTCCGGTCCCACTTCCAGGATAGCACCGACAATAACACCAACGTCAGTAGCAGAAAGACATGCCTTCCAGCCCCAGCAGCGGACAAATCCCCATCCCTCGCGAGAGGTGGCGTGTCCTGGTGCTTCCTGGGGAACTAACCCATCCAGCCCATACATGGGGGCATATTTGAGTAGCCGTTGTCGTAACACCCGTTTCAGCTCCATGTCCATATGGGTGTAGTTCTGATGGCACTGGCTCAGACTAATACCCATCTTCGCCAAAAGTTTATGTAACCGTTTCTTGCCGGTCTCGGTCCATACGTGCAACCGTGATGACAAGTATGGACTGTGAAGCATGCTCTCATATAATGACCAATGCCGCACGAGAATGAATCGGGGTTCTGGAGAAAGACGGATGGATTTATCTGTCGGTGACCTAGCCGTTGTAGGGATAACGCCATTGATCTCTCCCCGAAGATCTCGATCTCGTTCGTAAGGATCTGGTGGGTTCAATCGATGTACTTCGTCTCGTAGGATCTGGCGGATATGTTCGCCTCGTTCTCCACCCCAGCCGGCCAATCCTCCAGATTCAGAGGAATTGGAGATGCCAACACCAGACATTGTACGACCACTGAGCTCCAAGCTAGAGACACCCACGATGGCCAACCAAAGCAAGTCATTATCTTCACGACCGAGCTCAGACGCGAGGGAGTAGACGAGGGATGATATAGGTTCCGAGTATGATGTTCCGGCAGAATAATAGGTGTGGAGTATACTTTCGTGTTTTCGTTTCATTCGGATGAGACGCCGTTTCAGCGAACGAGCCGACGACTGTTTAGGTTCTGCGGGAGATGGTGAATCTGATGTTGGAGTAACGGAACGTGAGGAATTCGAGGAATCATGTGGACGCTGTCGTGGGCGACTAGGAGATGAAATGAGGAATGACGAGCCCTATGAAACACGGTTAGCACAACCCCGCGACCAAACACGCAAGATCCAATTCGCACCGAATTGCTTCTCCTCCGTTGACGAGGCGGCCCGTCATCTTCGTCAGATTCATCCTCATCTTCTCTTCCTGACCATGACTTGCGCTTTTTCCCTGGTCTTGGTTGATCGTTATCTTCACTATCAGACCCAAGATCCCCCTCCTCATCATCGTCCACCTCCGGCATATCCAACAGCGCCGAATATGCCTCCCGCTCCTTGCCCAATTCTTCCTCAATATCGCCATCGTCGTAGACAACAATACCCCCATTCCCAGACGCGTACGAAGGCGTTATACATCCCTTGTCAACACCGCGCGTATTCATACGAGCCCGCACATCAACCTCCTGTCCCACCACAGGCTGCCCCCCAAACACATTGCTCAAATTCCACGGCCGTCGAGCATCAAACACCCAAACCTCCACTTCCCCCAAATCCTCCACCTCGTCCTCCGGATCGCTTAACGCCAGGATCTCAGTAAGATCCACCAAACCACCCACCCCTAGACAGACCACGACGCCGCCGGCGCCCCCATTCTTGGTCTGCATGGGCTTGACCAATTCCTCGCCTGCGCGAGCGAGATCACCATATCCGGCTACCGGTTGGATCTTGTGCGGGATGTAGTCGCGTTTGAGTAGGGCCGTGAAAATCCGACAGGCACAGAGGGCGTCCGGTTCGAGGGCCACGAGAATCAGCACGGGAGGGGAGAGAGGGTGGTGCGATCGGAGGAGCTGTAGGTAAAGATGTGATATGAGTTGGCGCGGAAGATACATTGCGAAAAAAAAAAAACCAGGGAGTCGTCAGTGAGCGACTGACTCCCAGGAAGCAAAGCGCGGAATAAAGCAATAAGGTTTGTATGTAGATATAATAAAGGAAAACGCTTGTCACCCGGGTTTCCCCCTTCCAGGCTCGTCGTCCCCGTCTTCGTTTTTGGCAGTTCGGTTTAGTGAATTGAGAGTGATTGAATTGTATCAATAACAAACGCTGTCCGGGGCGATGGGAAGGGAAAGACTCGCGACGCGTCGAGGCACGTGCGGAGAACACCGCCAAGCCCCGCCCTTTGCTGCATTCATGGTTCAATAATACCCATGGCGATGAATTGTTTTGATTCAATTCTTCAATAGTATAAGGCTATGCGATGGAAATAGAAGAATAGTACATGAATTGTAGTGTTATCTGTACAAAAAGGGTATAATGATTC